TCTAAGTTGGTATCAGAGTAAGCTATTATCTCGACACTTCCTAGGCCCTAGTTATTGGGCTCGAATAAGCTTCCTTAAGTTCGGCTTTCAAAAATTTGCACTAGCTCCAACTTAAGGGTATTGATTGAATGATTAGGCTCAAATATTAGTGTTGGCTCCAATGATTGAATACTGACTAGGCCTTCGAAAAGATTGGTGTTGGCTCTAGTGACTGAATATCGACCGATCAGGCTTTCTATTTGATTGGTGCTAGCTTCGGTATAATGACTTGACCAGTTTTTGACATGAGAATTGGTTTTTCCTTGTGACCCTGTGTGGGGCCACTCGTGAAGGAGCGTGTTGGATAATAGGATCTCATATCAGACATATTACAAAAACATACACAATTAACATATAGGAAATTCCACTCCTAATACCACCGAGGTCTTTTATAATAAAACCCACACCTAGTGAAGGGTCAAGTGAGGATAAAATTGATGGTGTTGATAGTGAACCGTGCATGGACCTGAAAAGTTTATCACATCTTCAGTTTGATATTTCTTATTAATAATATAACGTCATGATGTAACTGTGGTAGTCTTTCGCCAATTTTGTAGCCAATAGTCCAAGTTTTTCTGTGATATGCTCAGAATAATGTGGGAATGAGCTACAGGCATTCATTTCTGAATGATGGGAGAAATCCCTTTCACTACAACTTACAAAAGTTGTAACTTACAAAGGCAAACCAACTTCCAACAACTAAGGCTTTTGATCTTGCGGCGCATGACGGTTTACAGGTAGACGTGCATTTATGAAAGTTTGTAAAAATTTGACAATGACTAAACCGTTAAGAGTTCTCCAAACCACTAAGCAACCAAAAAAAGATGAGCCGGAGAGGAGAAGCATTTCAGATTCATTCATATGAGGCTCGTTGTAAAAGCTATCTTTTTGCACTGATTGATAGGTTCTCAAGGATAGGAATGTAATGGTCAATCACTATCCGCACCCATGCTCCTGTTTTTGTAGTTTAAATCAGCTCAATTTGTTATCCATGCATCCACAAAAGATGATGGTTTCCTCCATGCATGGTGACAATGGAAGTGTGTCACGTGGTTGGGCGTGTGGGACAAGCTAATAAGACGTTCTCATGCTGACACAAGTGGGAACATATTAATAAAAAAGCACAGAGAATTTGTATGTATTTATGGAGAAAACAACTTACATAACATAAGTATATTGTCACTGTGATGTCTTGTGTCAATAATACAACGTCATGTGAAAAGAAACTTATCTAATTATGATATTATTTCTAAAAAAACATTACATTAACAGTGTATTCGCGCCATAAAAGTCCAACGTTTGTGAGAGGATGTGGTGTCAAAGAAGCACCCATTTGCCCTACTGAAGTATTATAATTTCTTTTTGTTAGGGGGTCTCTGTTAGGCAAAAACCCAAAGATAGGGAGGGCTAAGGCGGCCCCCATACGCATCCTTCGTTATCATACGCATCCTTCGTTATCAAGTTAGGTCTTTTTATAGGGCCTCTTATTCTGGTCAGATCTCCAACGGATGATTATTCTTTCTCAAATTTTCGTTTATGGTCGCATTCCTTATTGGCTACTCCAATGGCCAAAGCGAACCAGCTAATCATACATAATGCATGGAAATCAATCATACGATTTTCCAGCCAATAATAGATAAGGAAAACAAAGAGTGTTAGAGTTAGCAAGATTAAATAAGGAAGAAGATAAGCCTAGCTACCCATATAGTCCACCCAAGCTGCTATAAATAACCAGATTCTTTAAGGAGCGAATGAAAAACTTTAACAAACGCCTTCTAAACTTAGTACCCTTTTGAACTTTTAATTTGTTTTTGAACCCTTAATTTTTAAAAACGTGTCAATGTATTTGACTTTTAACCAAATTTATCATTCGTGTATATAATTTCGTATATTGAAATATGAAAAACTAACAAAAAATGTGATGAAGTTGATAGTAAAAACAAATTATCTAGGAATCCTGAATACCGTTTGATTGTTTGAGTGGACGAATAGCAAGTAGAGCATAGCTAGTGAGAGGGGTTATTTTTCTTCCCAAGAGATGAACCATAAAAAATGGTTAGTGTAGAAAAGGTTTGTTTGTTGAACCACTTCGCAAGTCACTAGCCAGCCAATTGGCTCTAAAGTCTAAACTGCGTCATTTCACGTGGTGTATAAGATGATGAGATCCCCTAAACCCAAAAAAATCAAATACATGGTACTGATGAAATGTAAAACCAGAAAAGCATGGTGACATCAAATTCATAACTGGTTTCTGTTGAAACATTAGGGGTCCCACAGAATATAGACATTGAGTTTATCTGAGAAAATTGTAATATTCGTTTCTTCTTTTTCAAAGTTTATTTTGTTACTTTCTTCACTGGACCTTTTTTTTTCCTTGGTTAGGTAAAGAGTTGAGTTAATTGGGATTATACATTATCATGTACTAGAAAGTTGTATATACTTGCATAAATATTTTTTTTTATTTGAATCATTGACTTTTCTTAATTTCTTACTAGTATATGGGTACACACAAAGTGTGTGAGAAATTTTTTTTTTTGTTTTTGAAATAGAAGGAGAGACGAAGAGAGTGATAGAGAATGTGGGAGTGTGAAGTTTTTTATTTCTTATTCATGTTTTGTTTTAATTAGAGGGTTAAATTGGTCATTTCATAGGATTTTGGTTGACAATGAATGTTTTATAAATTAGTAGAGATACGTATGCACGATGCTTATATCCAATTAATTTGTTGTATATATTTGTTCTTATCGGAAGAAAGATTTTATGGACATTGATGGTTTGGTCTTGATAGGGAAAGGAAGTGGTTTTCGTATTCAGTCTTTGTTTACACTCCAAAATAATTAGTGGTATAAATATGTGATAAATATAGGATTATTTTTTACACTCCTCTCATTTCTAGGTTTACGTACTCTAAATACTGTTGTACTTTAGAGTGATGCTAGGAAGACTAAATTTGTAAATTAAATGACATAAAAGTTAATGATTGAATTATTACTTGAATGTTGATAAACGTGTTTATTTCCTATTGATGATACATCATTTAGTTTGCAAATTTAATCTCCCTAGCATTACTCTGTACTTTATTCTCATTTATTTCTAATTTAATCTGCATTTACTACTATGTGAGAAATACAAAAATATATAATTCTCATATTTCAATCTTTAAACCAATTCGTGGAGAAGATTTTCAGCGTACTTATAATACAAGTGGTTGGGAATTTTTTATTTTTTTTCAATTTCCTTCTTGTCCATTTTATGTATCGGCCCTGAATAATATAATTATATAGTTCTCCACGCCACAGTATATTTTCAGCTTATATGTCACGTATCAAATCCTAATTAGTAATTAAGCACTACTATTATCTATCTATATAAATATCGGATATGGTTAACAAAGCATGCAACGAACAAAAAATTGCTACTGCTTGTCTACACAGAACTGTAAATGCGTTTTGAATTCTACATACATGCATGAACATTTAGACACTTTGAACGCATCTGTGTCTTCAGTGTAGCATAAACAGGCAAATATTTAAAGAAAGAAGTAGTTTGGACCGGTTAATAATCTACAGTACATATTTTGTATCCATATTCATGTAGATCGATCGAGTATAATAAAACCCTCTTTGTCAACCAATAGCATGAAAAGACAAATAGTCTTTTATCACACACAAAAAAGGGTAATAATGTAATTTCAGAGGGTCAAATTTTATTATTTTTTATTGAAGCCTAACCTACAGGTGATGTTAAAATACCTCCAATATTATAAAAAAAAAAAAAACCTCCCACTCCCCCCACATTCTCTCTCTCCCTTTCTCCTTCTCATTTTCTAAAAAAATGTGTTTATACACACAAAGTGTATAGGCAAATGCTAGTATAAGGTAAAAGGAGTGAAGTTTATATAATTCAAAATTGTCGTTTTCCCATTGTGAATTCAAAAGAAAAAACAACAAAACCACCCACATAGTGTGATTGTGGGCGGTTAGTAATTAAGTTTATTATTTTCTAAAATATATTTTCATAAAAAATAATAATAACTAAAGTTAAAAAAAAAAACAAAAAAAAAACACAAAAAATAATATATATCACATAATAATTAAAAAGAAAAAAAAGAAAAAAAAAGAGCACACGTCCGAGTGTAGCAAGAAGCTAGTACGTATAATATAATGTTGATGTTGGGTTAAGTTCGAAGCATATTAAGCCATTGACTGTACAAACTCACAAGAACAAAATAAAGGAAAGAAGACAAATGGTTTTGTTTCATCGATCGCTGGTAGAGACTTGAAATCGTAGTAGCTAGTCACGAGATTGACTTCCTTTTAGGTCTCGTGTAGTAAGTAGTCTGCACAAGCAAAAGTCACGAGAGCAAATAAAAACTTCTGCTCCCTCCAATTCCTTTTTGTGAATCATTATAACTTGGAAGGACTAAACACTGCATTGTTAGGGCAGAAAAGCTTCCAAGGAGCAAATTCTTTGTCCTTTACAACCATTTCTCCTAATTATTTAACCCAAAAACAAAACTATGAAAAATCACACTGGTATGTATACATATATATTTTTCATATTTGTTTCTGTTGTAAAATTATATAGAGTCAAGTAACTGAACCAGATTATCAAGACCACGAGTCCTTTCATTTGGCTACAGAATCTGAAATTTATTCAATTCTGTTGAATATTGCATAAATAAAGTAGATTCTCTCGTCCGTGATCCCAACATTTCTTAAATATTATTATTTTATGTCTCATTTTCCCCGTTTTGCTTCATGGTTATGGCTCATATACTTTTCTACTGCTTATACCTCCTTACCCTAAGTGACCATCCAGTGCCGACTGCGTGTTGTACTGACAGACTCCTGCCTCCACTCTCTCTCTCTCTCTCTCTCTCTCTCTCTCTCTCTCTCTCTCTCTCTCTCTCTTCTTTTTTTGGTCGATCACTATCTTTCTCTCTCTCCTTTTTTTTCTGTTTTGGTTAGCTTCAAAGTTCATAATCTGATCGTCTACGTGTAAATTCAATCATGAAAAACCTCTCCTCTCCCTAAACCATCCTCCAAACGCAACCTTCTTAAAATTCTCTCTATAAATACACACATAGCAAACCTTTCACTCACAAGAAACACAATACCCAAAATATCACAAGGAAAAAAAAGGGAAAAGTATACTCAATATTCCATTTTTTAAAGATATGGCATACAATATTGCCAAACTTCTCTCACTTTTTTCTCTTCTGTTCTTATTTTCTTCCCTCTGCAACATTGCAGTTGTGCATGCTCGTCTGCCCTTCGCCTGCGACCCTCGAAACCCGATAACCAGAACGTTGAAGTTCTGCAGGGTGACGATGTCAATCCACGTTAGGGTTCAGGACTTGATCGGACGGCTGACATTGCAAGAGAAGATCAGGCTGTTGGTGAACAATGCCATTGACGTGCCTAGGCTTGGAATTCAGGGCTACGAGTGGTGGTCTGAGGCACTTCATGGTGTGTCCAATGTGGGACCTGGAACCAAGTTTGGTGGGGCTTTTCTTGGGGCCACTAGCTTCCCTCAAGTCATCACCACCGCTGCTTCCTTCAACGAGTCGCTCTGGGAGGAAATCGGACGGGTGAGGATTCTTTCTTTTTCTTTTGTTTACTTTTCTCTGCGGTATAAAACTTTAGAACAGAAAATACAAGGCAAAGGTTTTTTTTTTTTTTTTTTTTTTTTAATGTATTAACCATCACTTTGGACCCATAGCCTATAGGCTATAACTCTTTTATCTCCGATCATGTGATCAAAATTGTCATATCTGTTATACCCTAATACTAAATTATCAGTGTAGACTAGTACCCATGTAAAGCATATATACCTGACATATTATGCTATTATACATTATTTAATAAGATAAGCGATTTGCTACCATCCGATTTGATTAATTGTCTGACAAATATAGTACGACAAACTTTCGGTGAGAGAAAGGTTTTGTGATTTATATTAAATAATTGGAAAAATTAGAATCCTTTGCATTTTTCTAATACTCTTTAGATTAAACATTGGTTCTATTTTGAAATTTGATTAGGACGCCTAAACAATAGCTATGTCAGCATTTTTATATTTATTTAGATTACATGTAATTATTGTGTTTTTTTAAAATTTAAAATGTTAATTATTAAATTCCATATATATGTATATATATCCTTTTAAGTTGATATATTTTTGTACGTGGCCTTTTTTTTAGGAAGCTAGTTTCTTCTCCCACGTGTGAACCATATGGTTTCTTCTCCCACGTTAGAATTCTGTGATCCTCATTTTTGAATTTTCAATGGACTTATCCATTTCAATTAGTGGTTGTTTTCACTATTTTATATTGATATCATGTGAGATAATTAGACGTATTCTTTATTTTCGGAGGCTTGAGGCTAGTACGTCCAGATAATATATTTAAATGTATCGAATACGTAACAAGAAGATATATAAAGTAACGTACCAAATATGTTTTTTTAAAATAAATATAAACATACCAAAATAATATATAAATGTACCAAATACATACAAAAAAGAAATATGAACGCACCAAATACGTACTAAGAAGATATATAAAGTAATGTACCAAATAGAAATATATGTTTAATCAAGAGGAAATATATGTACCAAATATGTTTTTTTTTTAAATAAATATAAACGTACCAAATACATACAAAAAAGAAAACAAACATACCAAATATGTACCAAGAAGATATATTAAGTAACGTATCAAATATGTACCAAGAAGAAATCTACATTTCATGTGTAATTTGAAAGACTTTTTATTAAAATTGAATACTACAATATTTATCTACAAGATTTTAGGAGTTTTGAGATATTATCTAAGAAAATTAAAAGGTATATTAAACATAATGGCAAGTCGCATTCATGCGTATTTTGAAAGACTTTTTATTGGAATTAAATTCTATAATATTTATCTACAAGATTTGAGGAGTTTTGATGTATTATCTAGGAATTAGAAGGTATATTTATATAAGGGCAAGTTGGGTAATTTAAGTTATAAAAAAGTCTACTTCTAATCCATGTGGCACCTAAATTGTAGGAAAATGTTTAATCAAAACTCTAAAAAGCATAAATGTTCAATCTCAAAATTTTAAAACCTAGGCATCTATATCAAAAACCCCCTAAATAATTTAACATTTTAAGGAAATAGAGGTGAAATTTGCATGGATACATGTAACATAGTGGTACATGGCACGTGCATTGGAAATTCGATGAACTACCTAAATTCAACATCCCTTCATGAATTGGACAATATTGGCGGCCAAGGATATTGACTAGCAAAGCCAGATTAAGCCTTAAAAACCATGATTCCATGAAACAAACAACACAAACGATATTTTCAGTAGCTAATTATTGTGGTTGTTGCTCTTGTTTATTTTTCTTTTCAAGACATGATTGAAATTGTTTACTAAATATGCACGCAGACGTATATAATTGAACTATATAACATGCCCAATAAAACATGCTTCAATTTAAGTATTAGTTTATAATAATCTCACAGATAATTCTTAGTTACGAGTCTCATTAGTCATGTTATGACAAATTTCATTAGTAGCCAACACAAAATCAAAATGGCATCGATTATGCAAATCCGAGTTTAGTTAATTAAGTTGATTAAAGTAACGTGATCTTCCATCTACACCTAAATTTAAATCTCTCTATCTATGATTACATAAATTTAGTCTAAATAAACACCACCCCCCCCCCCCCCCCCGCCCCGCCCAACAATCTTAGATTCTTAGCTTCTAAAATTGTTATCATGGATTATATGGTATATACATACACCCCTTATTACATGTACGAAATATTGGACCATTTTCTTCTTGTGGCAAAACCGGAAAATAAATTAATAAAGTTCCTTTGTCGATCAATATTTCCCTAATTGAAAACCTACTCATTTTCTTTTATTTAAAAAAAATTGAAGGGAAATTAAATTATGCAGTCATATAATTTTTTGTAATTGAATAGGTTGTGTCTGACGAAGCAAGAGCAATGTACAATGGGGGCGCGGCTGGACTGACATTTTGGAGCCCAAATGTGAATATATTTCGTGACCCGAGATGGGGCAGAGGGCAAGAGACTCCTGGGGAAGACCCTGTCTTGGCTGCCAAGTATGGTGCTAGGTATGTCAAGGGCCTCCAAGGTGACGGTGCTGGCAATCGCCTTAAGGTTGCTGCATGTTGCAAACATTACACCGCCTATGATCTTGATAATTGGAACGGCGTTGATCGCTTCCACTTCAATGCTAGGGTAACAAAATCTTAACCTAGTTAGTCATTTCATATTTAAGCATATTCACATGTATGACATGTTATGTTGTCATTGCACCAACCTAGACGTAATCAATATTTCAAATTGACAGTCTGACCTCATAATTAACATATTAGACTGTTAGACGAAACAACGTTTTCGTATATATATGTAGAGTGTGTATAAAATGTTTTGTGTGACATGTGCAGGTTAGCAAGCAAGACTTGGAAGACACATATGATGTGCCCTTCAGAGCCTGTGTGGTAGATGGGAAGGTTGCTAGTGTTATGTGCTCCTACAACCAGGTCAATGGAAAGCCTACTTGTGCTGACCCTAGTCTTCTCAAGGGCACAATTCGCAGCCAATGGAGACTCAATGGGTGAGTCCCATTGATTTGAACTAATGCTATATAATTCCCTTAATTTGTATTTATAGCCTTTAATATCTGATTAAGCTTTTGGTGTACGTGTCCAAATAGGTATATTGTCTCGGATTGTGACTCAGTTGGTGTTTATTATGACGACCAACATTACACTAAGACACCAGAAGAAGCAGCAGCAGACGCAATTAAAGCAGGTGATTAGCGGTTTAACCGTGCGCGTCTGATGTGCATGAAAGATAAAGTTACGAGAATCTAAACCCAAATTTGTAAACTGCAGGTTTGGATTTGGATTGTGGGCCTTTCCTCGCCATCCACACGGAGGCGGCCGTGAAGACAGGCCTGGTAAACGAGATCGACATTAACTATGCATTGGCTAATACGATCACGGTCCAGATGAGATTGGGCATGTTCGATGGCGAACCGTCAACTCAGAGATATGGAAACCTAGGCCCAGCAGATGTGTGCAAAATGTCCAGCAATGAGCTAGCCCTTGAAGCTGCCAGGCAAGGCATTGTTCTGCTTGAAAACCGTGGGAATTCGTTGCCTCTCTCAACCACGCGCCACCGTACCGTGGCGGTAATCGGGCCCAATTCTGATGTTACCGAAACAATGATTGGAAATTATGCTGGTAAGTTTACTAAAAATGTAAACCTGTACATATATATATATATATATATATATATATATACACATACACACACACATTTTGTTACTCTAGTCCAATTTCTTAGCAAAGCTTTAAAATTTGATCCATTGGATATTTTTGTAATTGTATGTAGGAGTTGCATGTGGTTACACTACGCCACTACAAGGAATTGCAAGGTACACAAGGACCATACACCAAGCTGGGTGCTTAAATGTTCATTGCAATGGAAACCAACTAATTGGTGCTGCTGAGGCTGCAGCAAGACATGTTGATGCAACAATCTTAGTAATAGGCCTTGACCAATCAATCGAAGCAGAGTTCAGAGATCGGACCAACCTCCTCTTGCCTGGACACCAACAGGAGCTGGTGTCCAGGGTGGCTAGGGCCTCCAGAGGACCAACCATATTGGTCATAATGTCTGGTAGCCCTATTGATGTTACGTTCGCAAAGAATGACCCGCGCATTGGAGCCATTATTTGGGTTGGGTATCCTGGTCAGGCTGGAGGAACCGCCATTGCCGATGTTTTGTTTGGCACTACTAACCCAAGTAATACTCAAACAAATGAGAAACTTATATTTATGACCGTCATGTTGCCACGTGATATTGATTAATTATATATGTTTTGTTCTTATAGGTGGAAAGCTCCCTATGACATGGTACCCTCAAAACTATGTGGCCAAATTGCCAATGACAGACATGGCCATGAGGGCTAACCCAGCAAGAGGCTACCCTGGCAGGACCTATAGATTCTACAAGGGCCCAGTTGTCTTCCCATTTGGGTTGGGCCTAAGCTACACCAGATTCTCCCACACACTAGCACAGGGACCCACACTGGTCTCGGTACCACTCACCAGCCTCATTGCCACAAAAAACACAACCATGCTGAACAATAACGGCGTTCGAGTTAGCCACACAAACTGTGACTCACTCTCACTCGACATCCACGTCGACGTCAAAAACACTGGAACCATGGACGGGACCCACACTCTTTTGGTGTTCGCGACCCCACCGGCAGAAAAATGGGCCCCCAACAAGCAACTGGTGGGCTTTCACAAGGTCCATATCGTGGCTGGTTCGGAGAGACGGGTTAGGGTTGGCGTCCACGTGTGCAAGCACCTGAGCGTTGTTGACAAATTTGGGATTCGGAGAATCCCGTTGGGCGAACACAAACTGGAAATTGGTGACCTGAAGCATCATGTTTCTGTTGAAGCAAATTTAGGAGAGATTAAGTTCTAATTACTAATTAGGAGCTATCAAAAAATTGGTAGTCACACCCAAAATGTTACGGGATTAGCATTTAATTATTAATTAGTTACTTCTAGTCTTCCTTTTCGAAGTCACAGAATAGGAAAGAAAAAGGAAAATTCTACTGTACAAGTAAAGGAAAGACGATCCAAAAGACAGAATATTGATTAATGAGCCGTAAGGTTTTAATAAAATAGTAATTTTGAATCTCATGTGTTGCTATACTACACAATCAAAATGTTATAATTTGCAACTCGAAGAGTACAAACTTTGAATCAAGCATACTTTTAATCATCATCTTATCCATTCTTATCAGTAGGCTAACCTGTAACGTATTTGTCCGAATGCATTCAAAATATTGTTAACAGTGGCTAAAGCGGAAGAGACTTCTTCAAGAAGGAAAATAAATGCTTGATAGATGCAAACAATGCAAGGTTGGTTTGTAGTTATAATCAAAAGTAGGTACACATTATCCTGTTTTTTTTTTTCCTTCCTTATAATAAATTGAAGTTGTTGGGTTAATTATCTTTTCTTTTTCTAATGGATTTTCCTGCCAAAAGAAGAGAATCCGTGAAAGAAACAAGCTGAAATTCATGAGGTGAAAACAAATTTGATTTTCATCTCAGCTGCAATGTTCTACCCGACAAACTCATCCAGCTCACCTTCAATATTATGGTGAATTCTCAGATCAATCACACAACGACTATACTTGCCTTTTACGAGACTATGACAACACATGTTCAGTTTTTTGGAGTTATATTAAGAAAGACTGGAATAAAACAATAATACGAAAAGAGTTAAAAATTAGACTATGTATCAATATGAAAAAACTGACTACAAATGAACATAATTTTAATAAACTGAAACGGAAGAATGTCATGATGTCTACAACCAAAGAGACTACTGTGATTAACTTACTTTTAAATTGAATAACAAAACATCATATTTATGAAGAACTAACCCTAACCATAACAGGCAATGAATACCAAATCCTAAACCCACAAAAAGCCAAATTAATAAATAAATAAAAACCTAAAGAAATACTAATATTTTCCAACAAAAACAAAAGGTCACACACAACTTACCAAGCAAGACCCATCAAAGAAAATTGAATCATTGCGAGGCCTAAATTAGATCCAAAGTTGGATAGAAACTACTCATGACTTAAGCCTCAAATGCTTGGAGGATCCAAAGTCTGAGGTATCCTACATTCTGAAAAATAAGCCTAATTCCTAATGAGACCTGAAAATACAAAGGGCATTTGAGTCCACCTCTGACAATAGTCAATGACACACCTTCTCTTAACCATTGGTAATATTGGTTTTGTTAGTAGTTTGATTTGTTTTATTTTCTCTTGCTTTCTATCATTTGTTTCACTAATTTTGACCACACAAAACTATCATTTGTTTCACTCAGAACCTTGCACACATGGTGGAGCCACATTAAGGCCTGGCCTGACCTCCTCAACATGCTATGATGTATCTACATCTGTTTCACTAATTTTGAGGGGTCCTTTGATAACTATACATTTATATATAGATATATTTTTGTTGTGAAAATAATAATTTTGTTTTTAAATTTGATTTTTGTATTAGAGATAGAGAAAATACATGAGAGATATGAGGGATATAGAAGAGTGTATCCTAATTAATCCCTAAGCGTTTGAAAATTAAGAAAAGACACGTAAACCTCCTTAGGCGTCTGCCTAACCCGCCTAGGTTGCCACTCACACTTAGACAGAAAATCGATAGCTTTCGTTTGGATTTTATTTTTGTTCAATAAATTGTAAGAGACTTGCTGATTACTTGTATGAACACTCATTACATACTTGTTCCCCATATTTCAATATGTTACTTTGATTTATATGTCATTTTATATTGTAATTTATGTATTTCAATATAATATGGATTTTTTTAAGCATAAATAGACACTTATTTATACCATATATAATAAATTTACTTATTTTTGCCTAGGCTCTAGCCGACCGTCCGACTAGCACTTAGCATCTTTTAGACATTCACACACATAATGATAACTAAAACGAAAAACTATTTTAAGTTGTATTAAATAAATGAACGGTTCATGATGAATATGTTAATTGGTACTTATATTGTCGATTTTGTTTCATACATTTGCATGACTAAGTGATCTCCAATTTAAATTAAGGAATTGAGCGGTTTGATTATATAATTTGTACACTCACAAAGAGTAAAATATGTGGCTTTCTTCCAACGGGAATGCAAGTATTATTCATTATTTATTGGTTTTCTTTCTATATTTCCATTTAAAAAGACAAAACCATACAAAACTCTCCCATGTTTTTCTCCCGCCAGTCGCTACTCCCTTTCTTATTTATTCCCTGCAACAATGGCATGTCAAAATCCACATAAGAAAACAAACAACAAAAACTGCAGCGGTTGTCGGTAAGTAAAGTAGATAAATGGCCCCTGTGAACATGTACTCTTTGTCTTAGAAATGAGACTGGACCAATAACCAATGGTGAGAATTTGCTGAGTGTCCTAAAAGCCCTCCTAACCCAATAGCATTTGAGAATTTGCTCACATTCCATGAACCTCAGCCTCAACTACGCTATCTTATACGCTTTATTACGAAGATTTTATCTACTTACCATATCAAATATTTATCTTGGATTTCCATCCACTATGTACTGTTACATTACGATAGTCGTCTGATAACACATGATAAGAATTACCCAACAACATGTAATAAAAAAGAGAAAGAGAGAAGAGATATGCAATTATTTGTTTTGGTCAAACAAAGATATGATTATAGCTAAGTTTATCTTGTTAGTTTAGAGAGATTTTTCAGTGTGCTAGTATTACAGTTGACATACCAAGCGTCATTATTCAAATGATTGAAATTTTGTTTTTCAAGTATTCGACAACTAGTATAATGATATTTAGTGTACTAAACTGTATTCTCGATACATGGAAAAATATCTCGTTAATTTGGACTTTCTACATTGTATATCATAAGTATGCTTTCTCCAATCAAAATTAAATACTAAAATACAACACATATACATAAATACAGTTATATTCTTATCTTACCCTCTCACTCAACCTTCATTCCTCATCTCTCTCTCTCTCTCTCTCTCTCTCTCTCTCTCTCTCTCTCTCTCTCTCCTTTATTTCCTTTTGCAACTTGTCCTCTCAACATTTCTGTTGCATCTCTCACTTTGCTCTTCCACAAGGTAATGCCAAGATCCCGTTTCTCTCTTTTAGTTTCTTTCCTCTTTTTGGTCCTTGTGTGTGTGTGTGTGTGTGTGTAATTATATATATACAGATTACTAACCTACTCCTACCCCATTTCAACACTTCTGCTACTATTTGCAGCTGCATTGTTCTTGTTAGCCATCTCTCTCTCTCTCTCTCTCATGTCTTAATTCTCAATTTTTATGTCAAATTTCTGCTCCCCTTTTCTTTTCATCGGTGATTAGTTCTTAATTTTGTCCCCAAGATTGATTAGAATCAATGATCTTGCAGGAGAGCTGAGATGGAGGATTGCAACAGAGGCCAAGACTATTTCGCTGCCCAAGACCATGAGGTAAGATCTGCTCCTAATCTCTCTCTCTTATTCGTAATTCCAACTTATTATTTGTTAAATTATTGAGTTTAGACTAATTAAGCCCCAAAAACTAATAAAATTTGAAATTCAGAGAGGATGTGATTAGTTAACCACCGTAGAGGCGTAGACTATTTTCATGGTGTCGGTTCAAATGTCTAATTAAGAAATTTGATGGCCGTATCTGCAATCCTTACCGCATGAGTCACGGTCATACGCTCCGCATCCTCTTTATTTCAATTAAAGTTGGTGGCATTTTATTTATTTTTTATTTTTTATTTTTTTGGCCTTTGGTGGCAGTTTTTTAATTCATTAATTTACTAGCCATTTCACACATGCGTTATCAGTGTTTAAAATATCGATATTGGTGCAAATATTGATATACAAATTTGTACAAATATCAATGGATATATTAAAAATTGATATCAGTTGTCTTCGACGAAAATGATGAAAATTAAAAATGAAACTTTAGGAATTGTTAAACATTGGTTTATACTAAATATAAGAATTTCACTGCTATTTAACCGATATGTCAAAAATATCAAATATGGGATGAAGTTTAAATTTCACACCCCTTTTCATATATTTTGTTGATTTTTTTGATATTTCCACGAAAATATTGACCGTTATCGAAGAAATTTTAAGCATTCTGCTTTACATATAGTTTCTTCTTTTCATTGAACATATATATATATATATTTTTTTTTAAATATTCGATATTATCTATACTAAGAGGAGAAGAGTGAGCTAAGCCTCACATTGAGTCAGCAACAATATAATTCAAATTTATCTTTGGGGAAAATCAAACCTAAGGCCTCTCACTTACAAGTGAAGAAGAATATAACTAGACCGTAGAACTAAGTGGTTGTTGAGGTTTTAAACATGAGTAAGAAGATCTCTACATCTTAGCCATTCATCGTGTATCGTGCGGTTAGAAATCATTAGATTTTTTATTTAAAATTAAATACAAATAATATTTGAAAAAAATTAACTGTATAATATACGATACACGGTTAAGATGTAGGAATTTCTAAGATTCCCACAAAGTGAATTCGGATGGTGAAAAATTGAAATGGGACCGACATTTAGGATATTATCAAGTAACGGCTAGTATCTTGACACGATAGGAGAATATGTCTTCCCTATGCGAAATGTCGGCAGCAGGTACGGTGGTTGCAACTTACAACTATGGGCACTAACGTAGACTACCAACATTCCTCATCCCCAGCTGCTGTTGCTGCGGCTGACTTTCCCTTGTTAAAAAACATACACGTCTTGTATTGATTACTTTTCACCGATTTTTAAAGGTATTAACTTGGCTCTCATAAACGGGATAGGATCCTCTCCGGATCCTCCGGATCTTTCTTCTTCTTCTTTCATCTCTTCAGTTTTGCTTCTGCTTCCTCTCGTTCTTCAATCTTCTTCTTCTTCATTTTTTCTGCTTGTTTCTGGGGAACTTCTACGCATTCTATTTTTCAGAATGACGAGCGGAGTTCGTCGTTCCAGACGACTATGACGTTGCTGGTTACCAGCGCCGGGGAAGCTACCACGCCGACTTCGGGGAAGCAAGGATGCCAACTTGGACTGTAAAGAAGAAGGATCCGGATGGGTATGCTCCGGAGACGATCCTATCCCCTCATAAACAAGAGGATTTCCTCTCCAACTCACTATTTAACTGATTTAGGGGTATATTCAATTGAGATATTGAGGAATTTTAATTTTTTTAATGAATTTAGGGTATTTAATCAGGATTTAAGTGATTTTCGAAAATTTAATGGGTATTTGATCAGGATTTTAAGATAGTTATTTAAATTCTTAGGAATCCGGATGTATTTAATTAGAATTTTAAAGAAATTTATAACATTTCAGATGTATTTAATTAGAATTTGACTTTAAAGAATTTGGAAAAGTTGAGGAATTAAGGGAATTGGAAAGATTTTGTAATGTATTTTAAGTATCCACAAATCTCACATCTTTCCATGAGATTTTGAGGGAATTGAATCAAAATTTTACATAAAATTTCTACAAATCAGTTAAATTCTATAAAAATTCATTAAATTCTCTTAAATTCTCAATTGAATACAATCCCCTTATAAAACTTCATGTTTAGATATTATAGTCGAAATTGCTCGTATTATAAATTAATATGTAAATATCAACTACGTACAAAATTAAATAAATATGTGACCATTTGATCATCAAATTGTATCAGATTTTGAACAAATGGGTGGATCCAGTAAATGAATTATAATGTGTTCCTCTATTTGCTACAATGATTAACTAAACAAGCTTTGTTTTAATTTATTTTTGTAGTGATGCTCTTTACAGAGTGGCTGTTCCGATCATAAACATAAAGTTCTGTGAATCGGCCACTAAATGAGTTGAAGAGGAAGTTCTCTTGGCTCCTCAAGATTGAGAAAAAGTTCTTCCGCAATTCACTAAGTAGTCTTGAGTCACAGAACTTCATGCTTATGAAATCATCATTGTGTTCATCTTCGTTCCCAATTTATGGTTTTCTTACAATACTCTGGTGTATGAAATGATTAGACTTGAATAGCCACATTGAGGCTGCCAAAGTTTTAGCCATACAAATACAGGCGTTCAATACTCGGTGCATTGACTATCAGTTTGTTTTTCCGTTTTAATTACAGTCAGCAGCTGCCAACAAATATGGAGGACTTGCGCCAAAGAAGAAGCCTTTGATTTCAAAGGTAAATTGATTACCACTTCAAAGAGTTCATCAGTCAGTTTTGTTTTTCTGTTATATTCCATTAAACCCATCTAACAAAACCCTAATTTGTGTGTGTGCATGTATGCATGCAGGATCATGAACGTGCCTTCTTTGATTCAGCAGATTGGGCACTCTGCAAGGTATTATTAACCCCTACTAAAAAAATGAAAGTTAAAACTCCTCTACTTTTTACTCATTTTGTAAATAAATAAAAAAATTCCATTAATTCATGGATGTGTAACAGCAAGGTGCAGGGGTGAATCCAAAATCAACAGCAGCAGTGGAGACCTTACAACCAAAGCTTCAGGTATAGAATTATAACTGCACATAAGTGCATTACTTTCAGGCATGCGACAATTTTTAACGTCAATTTGGATGAAGTTTTTGAAATCTGACGACAAGTCCCACATCACGAAAACCCTATCTTGATAGTTCAGGGGGCAAAACAGCAAAACAACATATAATTCCTGACAAAATGTCAATATTTAATTAAGAATTGTTCTCGTTTCAAAAATTTAACTCGCTTGGAATAATAAACCCAATTAACGTGACAATATGCAGAGAACTCCACACCAGCAGCTCCCCCCAAGGAGACCTGCTTGTACATCTGGCCATGAATGATATACAGCCTCGTAAGTTCATAATATATATATGCAATTACTCATCATTATTCGTAGTATGTTAACTATATTGAATAATGCTAATTAATTTCCTTTTAATGTTTTATTATCTTTGGTTTATGATGTTGCAGGGAGCATAGAGTCGTCGAGGGCTCAAAGTAGTTTGTTGTTTGAGAGGATTAATGTTGATGACAAAGCTCCATATATATAATTAAGCATCGAAATTGGCTGAATGTAATAATTGTCAGTTAGCTTTTTTTCTTTTTTTTAATAAGAGTAGTTCTCTCTAAAGTTTGCTCTTCTCTATTTCGCAGTTCGTTTTGTGATTCCAGCTTGAGTTGAATCCATAACCAAAACTGGGACTTTATATGAAAGACTTATATAATTATATTAGACAACAGTTGCCTCAACCGCTAGGGCACACAACGGTTTGATCCATGTCCTTGAAAAATTGGCAAAGAAGTTGCAAAACATCCAGACACCTTTAGCCTTCTCTGTCAATCAACTGTCAAGTTAACCATTTTTAATTTTGATGTAACACTCAGGTTCGCTTTTGTTTACAGAGATGCTGGATTGATGAACGCAGATTAATATACGGATATACGCCACATGGACAACAAACAAGATCTTTCTTCAAAGAAAACTTTAACCTTCTAGACATAGCCAAAAAAAGGGGATGAAAAATGGCTTTTAGACATAAAATCCGGCTTCCATGTAAACAAAAAATAGGTGAAATGAGCTCTTATAAACATGAGAATATAAAATAACCGTTAAGTTATTGTTACACCATAGCTTTTTATTTCAAACTATATAATTATGTGATAGACGCATAGGAGACATGGTGTTACAATTTGTAACTTAATGTTAATTTATATAAATTTTTATTGCATATGGACCAAATTGTGTCCTAAATCAAATGGATGCAAAGTATAATTTACCTTTCTAAAGTGCAATTTTCTTTGGTTACAAGAAATTCATATCTTCAGGATAAAAGAAAAGTGAAAATGTAGTAAAAACAAAGACACATTCAATTTTCCACATTTGAAAGAGAAAAAACTGTGCCGTAGCCACCAATAACATGCCATATGTCACACTATCTTGTGGTATTGCCTAGGCCATGAACCAAACTCAAACTCTCAATTTTCTTTCTAATTGTACACCATCTTTACTTGCAAGGTATACAATTGTACAATGCTCATGCAAATTTTTAGGTTTGATTTTTCACTCTCTAGAAAAATTTCTCAGCAAGTGGAAGTTGGTGACTTGCACTCCAGCTGCTCTCTTTCTTCTAGTCCTCGGCATTCCTCCAAATTCTTTACCACTTTAACCCCATCAATCGGTTTTCCTCTTTCCCAATTAAAATCCACCAACTTCTACTTTTACCAAATTTTCCCATCCACAGACAGAAGTTACTTTCTTATGTTTGTTCAAGGTGACTATCAATGCATGTATATGAGAGAATTTAGTCAAATCACAGACTGAAATGTGGTTTATGTTTAATTCAGTCAAGAAAAGTAGATTGGTACGCCAGATTGTTCATGTGTTAAATTTGGGTATTTAGAACCTCCCATTATATTGCTAGGGGTCGGTAACGCTCCATCGGTATACATTTCGATTTAGCTCCAACTGTAGCTATATTTCTCTCCCGAGATAGTTGCTGTAGTTTGCAAGCTTCTGTCATGGCTTTAACGATGACCCAACTCTCAGTTTTAGCTGCAGCTTTCATCTGCATCTCTCTTTTCTGCTGCAGAACAGGTCTATATGTGACATAGAAACCTAATATTGGATCCTACTTCTTATTCTTAATTTTCTAATAAACTATTAAGCAGAACTATTTTTGGTGCATAAATTTTTGCAGGGATGGCAGATGAATATACACCTGAAAGAGGTGATGAACCAGAAAAGGGCACTGGCACTGAACACCAGGATCCAGCTCAAATTGTTGCCAAAGCCTTGCTGTGTTTCAATGATAAATATGTAAGTCACACCATCATTCAGTTGATAGCACATACTATATTCAAATTTGATTAGTCCGTCTATGGAGCTAACGTTCTGTCAATATTCTATCCATAATGTGTTAGCTAGGTACCATTGTTGCTCACAAAATATACAGTCACGTTATAGATCCACTTTTGACAATACTCATGCACGCCGTTACTTAATAGAATATTCATTTCTGAATGTTTACGTACATGTGAGACTTTAGGAAAATAAGTTCATTAGGAATAAAATATTCATTTGAAGACGTAAACACAATTGTAATGGAAATATATGTAATGGTTTGGAGAAAATTTCAGGTATACAGCAGCTGTGAAGAGTCTTACAGATTGAATGAGAGTGGAGATCTGAAGGTGCCTGCAGAAAAAACTGATGAATACTGCAATGGTCCTTGCATGACGGAGACACAGCTTGTGCTCGATTGTATTGATAACATCATGAGCAATTTCCTGTTTTACAACAAGGCCACAATTCAAGACATTCGAGACACGATTCATGCCGGATGTGGCCACGGCGAAGAAAGAGGTAACCCTTTGATTTAATTTGTACCAAGTCATGGTAGTGTGAAGAGATTATATATTTTGTTTTGGTTAAGTAAATGTCAGTTGTTACTTGTATAATCTGTCATTAAATTGCATTTTTCCCAGGTAAATTCGACGTGGCTGAACACATCATCAGAGCTGAAGGAAGCAATGCATACAAGGCTGCAAACCAGATTCTGATTGGGATTGTGCTGATGATTGTGGGGAATGGATTACTGTTCTAAATTCTAATATGTATGATGCCATAAAATTAATTCCCATAGCCATGTATATGCAAACGTATAATATATAGTGGTGTCATTCAGACTGTAGTAATAACAACAACAAAGCCTTTTTCCACTAAGTGGGGTTAGCGTCATTCAGACTGTAGTAGTAAAACAAAATCAGGAGATAATCAATATATAATAACTGTTGTAAAAGTGTGTTTTCAGAATGAATATAAGATTTCAAGACACTTATAGCTCAAGTGATTAAAAGCGTTTATTCATGTATTAGAGATTATGTTGTTTCTATCCCTAGTTCTTTTTTCGTTTGGCCAAAGACAAAAGAAGGGCGAACGACTATAAGATTAAACTTTGATTTGAAGGCTCCAGTTTGAAAAACGATGACCAAGTACAAAGACGACACAGTGCACACCCTTGAATGTACAAGCATGACAATAGTTCCGCATATAAAGTAGTTTCGCTTAACTTGAATGATCAGTTTTAGTAACCATGTCATATTTGATCATACATTGATGATACAATGATGACATAATGACCATACAATTATGATATAATGATGACATTTAAAAACTGATCATTTTTTTAACCAAATCTTAAAAATTGATCATTCTAGCTAATTGGCCATTTTTATCTTGTTATATTTGCCCACCTATATGGGCTGGGTTTTAGTTCTCTTGGTTTGATTCTTTGCTTGGTGGAGAAGTTTCGATAATTTACTCATTTGATGAGAAAAAGAATTTGATTTCCTTGCCTATTAGGATTTGGATTTCCTTTCAATTAGGATTAGGATTCTTATTGTAACTTAAGTTTTATGCATTATATACAGGATCTTAGGGTTTGGTTTATTTTGTGTATCATCACCATTGGTTTAAGGATTTTTCTCTCTTTTGGTTTTGGAGCGGAGGTCACCGTTTGGAGTGATGAGTGTGTCAAATATTCATGGCTCATTTGTTTGACATTGGTGAGAGTTAATTTGTGAGTTTGAGAGTTAGAGAATAATTTGGGAGATCTCCTCTGTTTGTTTTGGATCTCATTTGGTTTAGGATTTGTAATTTATGAGATTTGAATTGTGAGAGTTAAACATTCTTTTGTAAACTCTGTTTGTTTAATAAAATATCTTGCCCTCCTTCATTTGTTTGAATCTTCATTTTTTACTACAACATTAATATTTAATACTTTTATTAGAATTATTTCCGCTTACGTATAAAAGTACAATAATACAAATATGAGATCAAGTGCTACCTAAATGCTCATTATTTTATGAGTGGATCAAACAATCTACCTGATATAATTGTCGAACACAACAATTATCATAAACGAGGGTATAATTCTACGTAGGTTACAAATATCTCCCCGAAGACAGGTCGGTCCAGCACTGCACCTAACCAAAGCCATTCCGTACCTCTGTAACCTCACCATGTCGACATAAAAAAAATTAAAAGACCATTCTCCACGCAAAACGACCGAGTTTTGGCTGGGCTCACACGCTCAGAAGTTGAGAACATTGATCCTCCCTTTCTCTCCCTGAAGCACTGCGCCCTATACCGCGAGACCAACTGGCATTCGTCGCCGGAGAAGATGAAGATCAGCATCAATTCGATGGCTCGGCGAGTCGAGGTCGATAATCGCTATCCTCTCCGATTTTACTTCCGAATCGCCGATAATCTCCTCAAACAGGTTCCCTTTTGATTTTCCTCTCTCTTTGATTCTATTTTGATTTCATTGTATTCAGTTCTAGAGTAATTAGGGTTTAAATTTGATAGATAAATGCTAATTACCTACTTAGAACTTCACTTGGGTGCCAAATTTTATACTTCTGATTGAAATTAGCTGTTTAAGGGTTTTTTATTTTTATTTTTATTTTTTATTTTATCAGCGCTAAGGCTCCCCAATCACCCTAAAAATTGAGTTTGAATTCTAATTTTCACATTGAAGCTGAGTTCTGTATGAAATTTGGAAACAGTAAGTTTTGTGTTTAGAAAATAATTGTTTAATCCTAACTAATTAGGAATTTATGACATAATATGGCAATGCTATGTATTAATCTAGTATTTTGATGAGTATCCTGCAAAGTGTGTTTAAAATTGTCAGCTTTTTTGTTTTTGTTTTCTAAATGTACTCTTCAAATACTCAGGCTAATATTTACCGGGAGGAGAAAAACATCCTAGATTTGTACGTCATACTTCTACGATTCTCAAGGTACGTAGAAAGTGTTATTATGATCCCATTTTGTGGGATTGATAGTTATAGAATAATTGAGATTTGTAACCTTATTGTTAAATTTTACAGTTTGGTGTCTGAAACTATACCATGTCATCGAGACTACCCGACGTATCCTCCAAGAGAGAAAACTCTATATAGGAAGGTAAAGTATGCAAGTTCTTTTAGATAGTCTTTAATTTACTACTTCTTGCATGTTCAATGTGCTTCAGCCTGTTCTGATTTGGCTGTTGTTTCATCATTGCAGAAACTTTTAGATGTACTAGATGAACTTGAATCTTTAAAGGCGGAAGCCCAGCGCCTAGTGAGCAAATTTAACGAGGCTCATGCAGTTGCTCAACTACCTCAACATGAAAGCCTAGAAGGCGCTTCAAATGGTTTGGCAACGTCTTCTTTAGAATGGCCTCCCGTGAACAATAAATCATTGAGCCTAAGCACTAAGCAGGTACTGAATGCTTCATCGATATTATGGGATTAGTTCTGTTGGTTCTCATTATCTAGTCATTGACTTCATTGGGTTGTAAAGCACTTATAAGATTTGTCATAACCTTGTTGTGCCTGCATGGAGTATTTTTAGTTTATCTGAAGTTTGTTGGAAGACTATGGATAATATACTAAATTACTTCCCTATTTTCATGTGCAGCCTGGTAACTTGACATCTCAGTCGTCGTGGAAGTATAAAAACAATTATTCACAGATTTCAACAAATACTACACAAATTGACAAGCAGTTCCAGAAGCTGTGAGTGTATTTCTTCTAGCTGTGTATAGCATACTGATATCCATAGGCAATAATCTGAACTATGACAACAATTTCTTGAATTTGCAGATCTTTTAATCTACCTCTTCCGAATAAAGAAACTTTGTCTAGACACTCATTTTTGGGTCCAAATGGTCTTCAGGGCCAGTGGCTAGGACCTAGTGCAAAGGTTAAGGTAAATTGTTAAGTGCAGTTTCAAAGTATTTTTATTCCTGAGCTAGCAGAACTTGATTAACTTATTTGCTATGCAGGTTCAATATCCAAGCAGTACTGACTTAATCGCTAATAATATTTCAGAGTGAGTTTTTCATGCAATACTTCTTGTCTAAACCTTGTAACTGTGATTCTTTTCCACATTTATTTCCATGTTTTGCTTCCTTTTCAGTATGTATATTATCAAAGCTTGCTTGATTGACTTTGAAGAAATTTCCTACTAATTTTAGTTGCTTCTAACATAGTGAATTTCATGTCATTCATGGTTATAGCCTGAATCAGGTACAAGATGGTGATCCAGGAGGAATTAAATCTACAATGGAGTCGGTGCTCTCCTTGGATGATGGAGCATGGCCACGTCCTTCTCAGGAATCAAGTCCTTCATTGATTAATGAAGCAAGGGAAGATCCTTTTGAGTTGGTCATCCATCAGCCTTCTCCTCCTCCTGTACTTGCTCGAGTGCAGCAGGAATATACTCCAATTCCTCCATCAAAAGTGGCAGATCCAAGGCCAGGACCTGCAAAACCGTCTCTGGATGGGATGCCAAGTTCTAGTTCATATCAACATTTACACGTTGTAAGCTTCCTATTCCCGATCCTTCTTATAAATGGAAACACCTGATCTTTCTCTTGCCGAATTACAATCCTTGAGAAATTATTTTTCTTGCTTCTAATGGTGAAGGCTCCGTATTATTTTTTAATGTGATGCTGGTGGCATTTAATTTGTTTTGCAGCCAGTAAAATTGATGGACGATTTCTTGAGATTGGCTAGGGCGAATACAGATAAAAACTTGGAGACATGTGGTATTCTTGCTGGTGCATTGGTAAGAATATAATGGTGTTTTCGTTGTGAGAAAACTAACATAATTTGATTCCTTTGGGTTCTCAGTGTTTCATTTTTTCTTCTGTGGCTGCAGAAGAACAAGGTTTTCCATATCACCACGCTAATAGTCCCAAAGCAAGAGTCGACCTCTGATTCGGTAGGATACATCACATGTTAACTTGTGGTTTGCCTTTCCATATTCTGGTTGTCATACCAAAATTTTCTTCTTGAGATCATTAGATGGTTAAATTGTCATGTTTTTTTTTTTTTTTTTTCTACATGTGGAGCTGCAAACCATGTACCAAATAAATTAGATGACCTTTTGCTCGAGATACTCATCCCATTTATGGATAACTTATCATTTAGAATCAAATAAGCATTTGTATGTAAACTCAGTGTGTTGAGTATCTTGACTGATCTCCCAATTTTATGTGTCTTCTTAATAGTGCGTTTGTCTATTTCTATCAACGGCATTCATTATCTTTGTTTCATGTTCAGTGCCAAACATTGAATGAGGAAGAAATATTTGAGGTTCAAGACAGATTATCTCTTTTTCAACTTGGGTGGATTCATGTAAGTGTCAATAGCTTCAGTGGCTTCAATGTGCATTAGTTATTGCTCTTGTACATGTACTCATTATTTTGACTTTCGTATCCATGTGATGCACCAGACACACCCATCACAGACCTGTTTCATGTCATCGGTTGATCTGCACACTCATTACTCATACCAGGTAAAAAGCAATCACCTTTCCTTTACTGTATTTTTTTTTTTTTTTTTTTTTTATGAATAATAGGCTCACGACAGTCTAGGCGTCCCCTTTCCCTAAACCGGTCCTCACTCTTTGGTAATATTTATTTTCTGGACTTCAATCTGTACTTTTTAAATTTCCTCGTGGCTTTAGTTCTTTTTGTCGAAACAGTCTCTACCGTGAAGGATTTGTTACATTATTAGATATACTTTGGTTATTTGTCCGTGTTCTCCAAGGTTTCATTGCACTTCATATAACAGGGTCGCTATGGTTGTTTTTGTTTCAGATTATGTTACCAGAAGCAATTGCAATCGTCATGGCTCCAACAGATACATCCAGGTGGGTTTGTTTAACTGTCGACGAAATTGATAATATATCATTTTATTATATAATATAATCAGCATGCTAAGTTGTTTCCCATGTTATCGCAGTCCACACGGCATATTTCATCTATCTGACCCAGGTGGTGTATCAGCAATTCGTAATTGTGATCAGCGTGGGTTTCATCCTCATGAAGAGTCCTCAGATGGAACCCCGATTTATGAGCATTGTTCTCATGTGTTTATAAACTCCAATTTGAGGATTGATGTTGTCGATCTGCGGTGAGATTTTGACATTTTACCTCTTAAACATGAAAATTGAGATAAACTTTGGTAAATATGTAAACGGAACAGTAATTATCTCTTCATTAGTAATTATATTGTAAATTCAAGTGGTTTCTAAATACGAAATTTGATGGAAATATGGCACAACTCATTTTAGTGGAAATATAGCACAACTCATTTTAGTGGAAATATAGCACAACTCATTTTGTAAATTCATCTTTCTCACCTCATGGTGAGCTCCGACAGCGATGGCGGTGCAAACAAATACAAATGGAGATGGACATCTACAGGCTAAAAAATGTAAAAATATTTGTTAAAAGTATTGTCTCTCGATCTTAACTTCTAAAAAGAATAAAGGCATTTTAGCAATCATATTGATTTCTTTTCCGATTCACTTGTAGACAATTTATATGAATTTAGGTTTTATTCATATTCCGATTCCAGAACATTTAAGTAAACAACTTTAACAAGAAATCGATTCTCAATTTTGTTCGGTTCAAGTCATCTTCAATTCAATTCTTCATGTTTTGATTACAGTTATGTAAACGGGGCATAAAAAAAAGCATCCCTGCTTCCTTTTTCCCTGTTTGTGCGCTCAGATCTACCAGATTCAACTTCGCTCTTACCCGATGGAAAACCGCCTACACTTGCAGGAAAAAGGAGAGCTGCCATATTTGAGGAGAGCCACGCCTATAGCCTATAGACCAAGGTGCTAATCTTTGTCTAATAGGTATGGATCCCGGCCCGGCCCGACCCATTAGGCAAGTACCCAACATTTGGTATACCTCCATTCACAACCCACCGTACAGCCCTAAAAATTGGGATGGGTGAATTTTTTGTACACATCCTTTTAATTTTCGGTTATTGGATCGACTGAATTAAAGAAGATAAAAAAAAAATTAACATAGGATGTGAGAAATAAAAATGAGTGTATAGATAACACATCCCTAGAAATTATGTCTCGTACAATATCACAAGTTTTTCTGGGATATTGGAACAGTATTTTGACATGCTACATTGAATAAGTATTGGAATTGTTCTGATTCATGATTTTGTTTTTTCGTTTATAAAACATATGTATTTGAATATTATATATTCTTCATTGCTTTGTGTTTTATAACATATTACAACAACAATAACAACCATCACCACCACCAAACGTTATCCTATAAAGTGAGGTTGGTGGTGTGAATCCTAGAACGTCATTATGCTTGGTTTTGCGCCAAGTTTTCCGTTAGCTCTAAATACTCCATATTTTTTCTTAAAGTCTCTTTCAAAGTCTTCATAGGTCTTTCTTTACCCTTTTTACCTTGAGCATCCGTCCCATTATCACATTTTCTAACTAGAGCATATAGGTCTTTAAACATAATGAACAAATAAAAAAAGTTCAGTTTTTCAATAAATAATTTCATGTTTTGCATAGTTCAATTGAAAAAAGTCTCATCCTCAAATAAGGTCGATCAACACTACTTTTCATAATTTTCTCTTCGTTGACTTTTAATGGCATGAATTTCTGATTGCCTTGGTGTTAATATAAAAATTTTTACAACGTTAGGCTGAATACCAAGACGCAAAAAATGTGGATTCACGTTAAATTCCGTAACCTAATCCTTGAAATTAACTAGAGAATGCTAAGGACCTAACACTTAAAAAGCAAGAATTTGATACTAGAAGGGGCTAGTCATTCAGATACACATTCATTCTTTCCCTTCTGAGGTTCATGACTTTCTTAGTTTTAAGTAAACATGTATTAGAGTTGCAATCTTAGCCACTAAAGAGAAAAAATCGTTCGTCGCCGACCCATGTCTTTGTCCTTGAGATTGGTGGCCAACCCCTCTTGGTCTCTTCCTCACTCTGCTTCTTCCATCTTCTAACCATCATCCATTGGTTGTGGTTTCTCTGTAACTCTATTGAAGAGAGCTTTCGTGATTGTGTCGCTATCTCGCTATGTTAAGGATTTGTGATTTGTGATTTGGGAATATTTTTTTTTTTTTAATGTTTTGTGGTGGTTCGTGGGTTTGTTAAAGGAGTATGAGGAGAAAGTTCGATATTTATTGGAGGAGACTCATAATAAGGTTTCTTTGTCGACGATTGAAAGATCATTAGATGACACGATCTTTTCTTTGTGTTGGAGAATATGATCTTACATTAGTCATATGACAAAGTAATATACAATTAATATATGAAAGTTTTAACTCTTAATATCACCAAAACCTTTTGTGATAAACTCAACACCTAATAATAAATGGTTAAATTTGAACAATATGGGTGATATGCAGGGTCGGCCCTAAGGGTAGCCCAAATAGGCGCCTGCCTAGGACCCCCACTTCGGAGAGGCATCCAAAAGAATTTTATATCCTGTGATTAACATATAAATACAAAAAAAAAAAAAAGTAAGAAATATTATAATTCATTTGTTGGTGCAGTGGAAATGTTTGGCTTCATTTTTCTTTGGGGTGTAGAGTTTGAAACACGGAGCTGCCTTTCAGTCACTGGATTTTTCTTGTTTTTCAAATTCATTGCCAATCTATCTGTCCAAATGCATATAAAGTTATAAAACTCAAGTCTCTTTGCAATCTTTTTTTCTTTCAACTTCCCATTCTTTCCATTTCTTTCGAATGTTTAAACCAACTTCTCATTCTCTCCATTCCTATTGAATGTTTAAACCAACTATCACATGGTCTTAAATATTGTACTTTAAGGTAATCGAAACTTTGAATTTATATTTTGCTTTTCAATAACTTCTTATTCAATGGATTATTTTCATATTCAATTAGTTAGTGTGATATTGATTTTAGAAAAAAAAAAAACACAAGAGAAACAATTGGCGTTGTTGTATTTATTATACTTGTCAATCAAGTTTTATTGTTTTTTACTCTCTTGATCATCAAGTTTTATTGTTCTTCACTTTCAATTATAGACTCTTGACTGCAAACATTTAGTATATTTGCATATAAAAAAGTGAGCCGTGTAATGTTTAAGTAATATTTGTATATTTATCTTCTTTTTATAGTAATTTTTAATGATATTTGATGTGAAAATATAATTTTTTATGTATTCATCGAATTCTTTTTTATACAAATCAATATACAAAAGAACCGAAGATCAAAGAACTTTAAGATTCCACTTCAAAGGTTGGCCTAAGACCTCAAATTCTCAAGACTGGCCCTGGTGATATGGGTGGTGGACCATGTACTTACAAAGTTTATCACCTCGTATTTTGCCTTTGAGGTGGTTCTCCAGAATGCGAGCAGTTATGCTTAAAGAGAATCATATACACGACAATATTAGAGAATTATTAACTTGTTGCCCATATCATCCTTTAAACCTGAACAGATTACTTATTCCTATTTATAGGGTTGTACTGGTGGGCCTCTCTCTCCACCCTCACTTAAATCGCGACTCTGAATTCAGTTTTCCCAACTATTCATTCACATCGAAGAAGAAAAGAGAGAAAAAAGGGGTGAAAAAAATAAATGCTATGAATACAAACCTCAGGCTTCCCCTTCTTCGTAGCTGAACAGTGCATGTGATTCAATTTAATTTTTGGTATGGATATTGACATTGACGTTCTAAGGTGATGGCTTCTAAAATCTATTAATATATGTGTACTGGATTCAAATAATTATCAAACAATTAGGCGTTATGGTTAAATCTAGTATTATAACCTTAATTATCAAATAATTAGGTGCCACAGTTAAATCAAAAGTTCTATAATCTTAATTGTCAAATAATTAGGCGACACGATTAAATCTAAAGTATTATAACTTTAAGGGTAAATTACACTTTCATACCTCAGGTTTGCGGTCTATTTCAATTCCTCACAATATCTTCAAAACATTTCATTTCCATTCATTGATCCATTTAGTGTTGACGTGGCTGCCACATATATGCTACGTGGCTGCCAAATGTCTGCCACATGGCAAAAAAAGAATAAGTTTTAGTTTCTTTTTTAAAAAACCTGAATTTTGTCAAAAAAAAAAAAAAAAATTGAAACCCATCCCTAAACCTGCAAGAAGAAGAAGAAGAAGAAGGAGGAGGGAAAAAAAAAGTGCTTGAACCTACCTTCCCCCCTCCCCCCACCCCTGCGCGACGCACCTGCCTTCCATCCCCCCCCCCCCAACGTGAACCCACCCAGACCATGACCTCCATATTTTTGAGATTTTCAGTGTCAGTAAGTTTCGAAAATACTTTGAGATGGGGAGTTTGAGTTTGAGATGATTGTTGAACTGGTTTTGTGGTAGATCCACCTAATCTCGGGTGGGATTTTTTGGGGTGGGTGATGGGGGATTTTTGGGAGGGGTGATTGGGGATGGAAGAAAGGGGTGGCTCGGGTGGGATTTTGGGGTGGGTGATGATGGATGGGAGAAGGGTGGATCAGGGAAGACTATTTTTGGGTTTTTTTTTATTTTTTTTATTTTTTATTTTTCCCTCTTCTTCTTCTTCTTCTTCTAGGTTGTAGGTTTTTAGGGGTGGGGGGACGAACTGAGTTTGGCCTTTTTTTTTTTTGTTTTTTTTCTCTCCTCCTCCTTCTTCTTCTTCTTCTTCTTGCAGGTTTAGGGATGTGGGGGTGGTTGTGGGGAGATGGGATGGGATGGGTTTCAATTTTTTTTTTCTCCCTCTTGCAGGTTTAGGGATGGGTTTCAAATATATTTTATTATTATTTTTTTTTTGAGAAAATTCAAGTTTTTTAAAAAGAAACTAAAAAATCATTTTTTTTTGCCATATGGCATATATGTGGCAGCCACATTAGCACTTAACGGATCAATGGATGGAAAATGTAATGGAGGTATTATTTTGAAATAAAATAGTACTTAAGGTATGAAAGTGAAATGTTTTGAAGATGTTGTAAGGAATTAAAATAGACCTCAAACCTGAGATATAAAAGTGTAATTTACTCTAACTTTAATTATCACAAATAATTTGGTGTCAAAGTTAAATCCAAATCTGTGAAAAGTAAAAAGCTTATGCTTCCTGTGCATGACTAATTTTTTTTTTTTTAATTCCTACTTGCATGCATGGAAAAACAATGTCACTTGAAATGTAGTGTTTTTATTTTATTTTTATAGGAAGGTGGGGTTTTTATTTACTCATCATCTCCTCATGG